CTCCGCGTCCTCCGTCCCGCCGACCCCGCTTCTCCGCCCGGGCGCCTTCACAGCGGGAAGCAACAGATCGCAGAGCAGCAGGCGGGGAGAGGGGTGGGAAGGGCCACGGGCAGAGGCAGGGGAGAGGGTCCGGCGTCCCTGCGGCGCGCTGGGTAACGCCCCCCCCTGTGGCCCGTCGCACCCCGCCCTGAATAGGGGCCCCGCACCCCGGCCTCACCCCCGGTGTGCACGCACGAGGGAAACCTGGAAGCAGTCCCCCTTCCTCTCCCGGCAAACCAGATCTCTCTTCAGCAGCTAAGGGACGTGCATCTGTGTTATCCGTCCAGTTCAGCTCTTTTCCGCTTAAGCAAATGGTAGCACTGTCCGCCAGAACCCCAGGTGCCAACACTTACTCCTCCCTCGCCAGCCATTACCCCCACTCCAACCCATTACCAAAGCCGATGCCCGTGTTGGGCCCCAGATCTTCTGGACCTTGCATCCCCAACATCTCCCGGTCACCCCAGCATCAGCCTCCCAGCCAGGCGGGGTGACTCTGTAAACGAGTTCCAACATGGCTGGGCCTCACCTTCAGGACCCAGCCCAGGCTGCCCCTCCGCAGCTCCGGCGCGGGGCCTCTCCTCGGTGTTCTCTGCATCATTCTTCTTTGTCTGCTCATTTAAAAAATAGTTCAGATTTATAAAAAAAATGATACAGCTGTGGTCCTCCCAGTGTGCTCTCTGGGCAACAGCCGCAGCAGAGCCGCTTCACCCGGAAACTTGTTAGCAAGGCCAACTCGGGCCCCACCCGCAACTGGTGCTTTACAAATCTGGGGAGGGGGCCAGCAGTCTATATTTGAACAAGCCCTCCAGGGGATTCTGCCCCCTCCCCACCAGCGTTTGAGAATCAATGGCATGAGACTAATACCACATCATGGCCCAGCACGCACACAGTGAAGTCCTGTGTATCCATCCCCAGACCCATCTGCAAGGCCATCTACTAATCCTTCCGCAGACCCATTCTGCCCATGTGCGGTGCGAAACGAAAACACAGGGCTCTAGAGAGAGCAGGGAAGCCAGCCTGTCCTCCCCATGGCCCACTGCCCTAACCAAGGGATTGCTTGGGTCGAGGTGCCTGAGGGGCCCCACCCAGGCGCCCTCAGACCCATCATGGCTGCCGGCCTAGGGCCAGGAGGTTGTGGCCTTGCCCCTCCCAGATGGACTCTACCATGTACGCCTAGGCCCCCACTCAGGTCTCCAAAGGTCACTCTCTAGGTGGGGGTGACAGTGGCCTTGGGTTGGCCTGGCCTGAAGTGCAAAGGAATGGGCAGCAGGAGGCTGAGAACTCCACCCCTAGAGGTGGAGCCTCGTGTGGCCCAAGGCACAAAGCCTCCGGTAGCTCATGCTGTGTCGTCCCATTGGCTTCACTTACAAAACACAGATTCATAGTTAAAATGATGAAGCATAATTGAAGACAGTGAGAGCAGAGCATTAACGCCTACCACAGCTCCCTCCTGAATGTGGGGTCCTGTGCAATTGTGCGGAGCCCACCCAGGTGAGGCCCCGTCCACCTCCTTTCTTTCCCTCCCCAGAGACAACCTCAGCCTGAGCAGGTGACTTACTCCCATGCATGTCTTTACATGGATTTTATTAGTCATATATCTTCCCCTGGATGACAGGTAGCACCTTTTCTGTGTTCGCCCTTTATCTGGGTCCTCGTGCCTCCCGCTCTGCTGTAGCTGTCTGCTCGTGAGTCTGTCTTCCACACTCGAAGCCCCTCACTGGGGATGGACAGGAGTCACGTATTCACCCCTGTAACCTCAGGGTCTAGCATGCAGAAGTGCCACCAGTGAATGTTTGCCTTAAAAAAATGAGAGAGAAAGAGAGAGGGGAGGGGCTCCGACCGCTGGTGGCATGGATGCCCTCCTGGTCATGCAGGACACACAGGGGCAGCAGAAGGGCCATTCTGGTCCCAGAGATCTCCATCTCCTGCTCTGCTGATCGGGAGGAGAGGCACCCAGCATCCTTGGACTTGGGCTGAGGGTCCCTCTGCCCTATTGGGAAGTACTCCTGCCCTGGGTGTCCCCACTTCCGTAGGTTGGAGACATCACCCCCACCCCAGTTCTGTCCTGTCCCACAGACTCGTCTCTACTCCATTGCAGCCGCCGTGCTTGCTCTGACTTACCCCGTGTGCACCGGTTTGCTCTGCCTCGGGGTGAAGGAGCGACCAGGTAAGGGGGTGCAGTCTGAGTGTGGGAAGCCGAAGCTGGGACAGGATCCCTCTTGGGCCTGGGTTTTGGCTTTGAACTCTGCCAAGCCCGAGTGTTACTTTCCCGCGTTGCAGACTCCTCTGCCCCAGCCTCAGGCCAAGGCCTGAGCTTCCTGGCTGGGCTGGGCCTCACTGTCCGGCACCCGCCCTACCTGAAGCTGGGGATCTCCTTCCTGTTCATCTCAGCAGCCATTCAGGTACCTCTAGGCCTTGGCTCTGGCCATACTGACCCTGTGTAGGTTCAGGTTCCGCCTCTCGGCTCCACCAACCAGAGTTAGGCTTAAATAGAGAGAAATGGTGGCTGGCATGGGTTCCAGAGAGTCTGGTGCAGGGAGGAGAGAGACCTACATAGAGCTTGTGGGACCAGGAAGGGTCAAGGCCTAGACACTAGGCAGCTGACAAAATCTGGGTAGTAAGGTCCACCAGCTGGGAAAGGGGGAGGAAGGACTAGGAATGGTATTTATACCTGTTTCGGGGCTGAGTGTCCTTTGGGGGGGAGGGGACTGCATGATGCATGATGACGGCAGCAACTGGTGTTTGAGGTCCCAAAGAAGAGGCCAGACGTGCGACCTAGGCCTTGCCCTTGACTTCTGAGTTCCTGCCATTCCCGATACATGCCCACTTCCTGGTGGCCTCCTCAGGTGGAGCAGAGCTACCTGGTCCTGTTCTGTACACATGCGTCCCGGCTCCATGACCACGTCCAGAGCGTGGTGCTAACCATCCTGGTGAGTGGTCCTGGGGTGGTGGAGACAGGCTCCCTCGGCGACCTGAGTTGGGGACCTGTGTGGTTCTTGACAAGGCATGTGTAGCCAGAATTCCGGTCAACATTCTGGACTCCTCTGTGATCTTAGTCACCTGCACTCCAGCGGAGGTGGGATCGAGGCTGGGGTCATGAAGTTCATAGCCACTGGTTCCAACCAGGGCGCAAAGTCAAGGTCGAGCATCCCACGTCAAAGCCAAGGCTTCTGGGACCTGGGTGGATCAAGGCGTTGGCAGGACAGCCCCCGCCGCCTGGGACGATTCTGTCTGTTCACAGGTCTCGGCTGTGCTGAGCACCCCGCTGTGGGAGTGGGTCCTACAGCGATTTGGGAAGAAGACGTCAGCCTTCGGGATCTGTGTGAGTGAGGCAAGAAGCAAGGCCCGGGGGGAGGCTGCAGGGAAGGTGGCAGGGTCAGGGAGGTGAGCTTGGAGCCTGAGCCTCCTGGGGGCTGGCAGGACTGATCTGTACTTGCCTGTGTCTTCAGGCCCTAGCAAAGGACCAGGTGCAGGGGCTATAGGTAAAGACCGGTGAGGGTGGGAATGAAAGAGCAAGTCAGGGGCAGGTGGAAGGATCAGCTGGTGCATCTGTCTCCGCAGGTGATGGTGCCTTTTGCAATCCTGTTGGCCGCTGTGCCCACAGCACCTGTGGCGTATGTGGTGGCCTTTGTGTCTGGCGTGAGCATTGCTGTGTCCTTGCTGCTACCCTGGTAGGCTGGGTGAGGGGAAAGGGATGTGGAGCTTCATGTCCTTCCTAACGGGTGTGCCCTCTTTCACATCCACCTGTTGTCCCAGGCCCCTTGTGCCCAGCCTGTGCTGGGGACTGGCTGTCCCACCTGCAGGAGATGGAGGCCACCAGCTCCGTCCTTGGAGCGCTCCTGGAAGGGCACCAGATGGCAGGAATGGTGGGCAGCTGTGTTGGGGGAAGGGGCTATCGCCGGGCTCTCTGTGGGCCAGTGCTGGTCCTGGGCAGCAGGAACCCAAGGATGACTCTGACTTGCTCTCTGTCCCCAGAGAGCCCTCAGGCTGGCGGCTGTCAAGGGGATAAAAGGGATAATTCTGCAGCCCTCTCCCCCAGGTCCATGCTTCCAGATGTGGTGGATGCCTTCCAGCAGCAGCACCAGCATGGCCCAGGCCTGGAGACCATCTTCTACTCATCCTATGTCTTCTTCACCAAGCTTTCTGGCGCAGGCGCCCTGGGCATCTCCACTCTCAGTCTGGAGTGAGTCCCAGGGTTGGGCTGTTCTTGAGGCACAAGCAACGAGTGGGGTGGGAAGAAGAGGGCAGAGTTCTCCACCCTAGTGGGCCGGGGGCCACCCACTCGTCTGCTCTTTAGAGAGTATAGGGCAACACCTGCCCCAGCTTTCTCCACGCACATGACTGAGAGCGGCCTTTCTTAGAGGCTGTAACCCTCCTGAAGCCCCAGCTCCCCACATTCTCAGTTCTGTCGGAGCTCCCTGGCCAGCCCATTCCCTCAACTCTCTCTTCCACCATGGTTAAGCTGATCTGGCCGGGAAATGACTCCTACTTTCAGGGCAGTGTGGGGGTGGGGTATCAGGGACCCCTCCTGCCAGGCCCGGTGGGATCTCAGCTGCATGCGTGGGATGCTCTTTCTCCAGGTTTGCGGGCTATGAGGCAGGAGCCTGCAAGCAGGCGGAGCAGGTGGTGGTGACCCTCAAGGTCCTCATTGGGGCCGTGCCCACCTTCATGATCCTCACCGGTCTGTGCATCCTCATGGTTGGCCCCACTCCAAAGGTGCCCAGCCAGGACCCTTCCCGCCGGCAGAGTCTTCAGAGGTAGGCACCCCGTGCACACGGGTACACACAGCAGGGTACCAACACCCAGGGATGCACAAACGTGCCCTGGTGTGAGACTGACTAACGGGTCCGCAGTTGTCCCTGAGGCATTTACGCAGTCGAACGCTCCTGCCTCTGCAGACTCTTCCCACAGACTCATCACTCTTCAGTGATGGCATATGTTCCTGGGTTTTTTCTTTTTTTTAAAGATTTATTTAGTTATTTTTGAGAGAGAGTGAGTGAGAGCCTGAGTTGTGGCAGGGGGGAGCAGAGGGAGAGGAAGAGAAGCAGACTCCCCGCAGAGCACGGAACCCAACAAGGGGCTTGATCTTATGACCCTGAGGTCATGACCTGAGCCGAAACTGACTGAGCCACCTGGGTGCCCCTGCTCCTGGATTTTCGTTCTTTTTTTTTAAGATTTTATTTATTTATTTGTCAGAGAGAGAGCGCACACATAAGCAGGGGGAGTGGGAGAGGGAGAAGCAGACTCCGTGCTGAGCAGGGAGCCCGATGCGGGGCTCGATCCCAGGACCCCGGGATCATGACCTGAGCCGAAGGCAGACGCTTAACGACTGAGCCACCCAGGTCAGCTGCTCTGCACGTCCCTTCTCAGTCTCCCCTCCTTGATTATCCGTTGGCTGTGGTATGGAAGGGCTCCCTCCTTGGCCCTGCTCCCTTTGCTCTCCATAATGCCAGGCACCTCGTCCACTTGCTTGATCTCGAGCCCCTCTCGTGCCTCGTGACTCCTAAAGCTGCCCCTACCCCCTGGACTTCCTTCAAGTTCCGGATCCATGTGTTTGGCTCTCACTGGCACGTCTCCACCCGATGTCCCACAGGCATGGAGTCACTTTCAAAGAGCCCCGAACTACTGAACTCCTCTTCTTTCCCTGTGGGCCTTCTCCTGTGATGGCGCCATCCTCCCTCCTGGGAGCCGAAAGCTGGGGCTTCTGCTCTTTCCCCCACAGGCTGTGCTGGCCGTGCCCTGAACCTTGTTCTCCCAGCTTCCAGGGCACGGATCCCGCTGCACAGGGCTGAGAGGCCCACCGGCTGGCTTGCCCAGTGGACTGTGGGGATCTTGGAGCTGGGGCTGGGTTTTATTCGTTTCTGCGTGCCCAGCCCAGCACGGACGGAGGCCAAGGCCACGCTGGCGCCACGGTGTCAGGACGTCTGGGCCGGCAGCTTTCACAAGCATGTGGCCGCCTGTTTGGAGATGCTCACACACCCACCAATACCAGCACACGTCCACACAGAGGAACACACGGGATTGGCAGGAAGTGACACTGTCATCGGCCCCTCGTTCTCGGTGTGGATGGCTCAGACTCTGGCCCGGGAACACTGAGGTCACACGCACACTCGGAGTGACCCGCAGATGGGGAATTGCTGGATGGACTTGGCGAAAAAACAGGGGCTGTAGCTTTATTCTAGGGGTGGGGGAGGGAGGAGCTGCTAGGGAGGCGGGGAGCGGCCACTGCCACGTCCATAGGGGTCCATGTTCTGACACCATCCCCCTCCGCCCTCATCTGTCTCTTTGGGTTCTTTCCCTTTTGCAGGAGGACCAGCTACAGCCTCGCTTGAGGGCTGACCTTGTGTGGCCTGGAACAGCAGGGGCCGCCGTCTTCCGGGCCCGGGGTCCCTCTTTCTTCTCAGTCCTTAGCGCACCGACTTCGAAGGTTACACGTGACCTGTCTCTTCCCCCGGGATATGGAGTCTTCGGGGACACCTCCTGAAGGGACTGGCCTGGGCTCCGGGACCCTCGCCTGCCACTTCTTGCTTGTTGAGCACAGACCAGGTCAGATAGGCCTGTGCCCCAGACCACCCAGCTCCAGGTAACCGTGACCTAGAAAGCATCCCAAGAGCAACTATTCCTGGGAAAAGGAAGCCCCACAACTTGCTCACCCGACAGGACAGACGCACAGACTTTTTTTTTTTTTTTTTTTAAAGATTTTATTTATTTATTTGAGAGAGAGAATGAGATAGAGAGAGCACGAGAGGGGGGAGGGTCAGAGGGAGAAGCAGACCCCCTGCTGAGCAAGGAGCCCGACATGGGACTCGATCCCGGGACTCCAGGATCATGACCTGAGCCGAAGGCAGTCGCTTAACCAACTGAGCCACCCAGGCGCCCCAGACGCACAGACTTCTTGCTCTTCCTGATGCTCTAGTGGACATCCGAGAGGCTGACAGACACCACATGAATGGGCAGAGTGGGGACAGATGGGCATGCTGGGGATGACATCAGGAGAGACACAGAGGCACTGAGACCAACAGACCCCAGAGGGAGCAAATGGGGACAGCAGGCGGGGAGGAGACTGAGCTGGACACGAGAGGCATTTCTCAAGGCTTTGGGCTTGTTCAGATAAGCCGGCAACAGTTTCTGGAATCAGACACAGGCTGATATTGAGGTACCAAACATCAATCATTTTTAGGAACAAAAGTTATTTTTGTGGAAATACTCTTCTGAAATTGTATCTTACAAAGGCACAGGGACCACAGTTTTCTAAAGGCTGTATCTTTGGGGAAGAAAGATCCACTGAGGTTTATTTAAAAAAAAAAAAATATATATATATATATATAAAAGGCTTTATCTTCTACTGAGTCTGTAAAATATGACTGTGGCCATCCCTCTCATCCCACCTCCTGGGTAACCACCGCCCAAGAAGGGAAGGGGGAGGGTGCCTGATATCACTGCACCTGGCTATGTCTCCCTAACCACATACCCTGACCCTGCATTTCCTCAGACCAGAGATGGCCATGTGGGAGGTGGGTTCCTTCTTTCCTTTGGAAGAAATAAGAAGTGGAGACTCTCGAGTAGCCCAGGGCAGCAGGCTGCAGTGGGCTGCGGAGGGGTTGGGGAACCCATGAGAGTCCTGATGCCCCAGCAACTTCTAGAGAGTACGAGACACCTCAAGAGATGAGCAGGAGGTGCAGACGTGGCCCCTGCCTCTGTCCCCTCCATGGGGTCAGCTTTCTGAGCCCCCGCCCAGGGCTAGGCCCCCTTCCACTTCCTCATTAGACCTTTGGCTGCCTCTTAGTTCCAGACTCGCACCTAAGACTGCCAGAGCTCAGACTCACACTCAGACGGGATATACCCACCCTTCGAAGCACGAAACATCTTGCTTCCTCCACGAACACCGTAGCCCAAGAAGGAACCTGACCTCAGAGTGAGAGTGCACGGCGTGACCTGAACTCTCCGCCCTTGTGCCCCTGACATGGGTATCTGATCCTTGAGGTCACAGGGCATCAGGGACAGAGCTGGGTCCGCTTCTCTTCATTGCCCGTCTGACTTAGGAACGGGCTGACGGGAAGCTCTGCTCACCCCTGGCTGTGCATGACACACACACGCACAACGGTTTCTCAGCAATGGAAAATCACTGGCTGTGGGGACACAGCACCTGCTAAGACAGGAGGTGACGTAAGGTTTCTACCATGTTGCCATGCTGTGCTTTGGAAACCTGGGCAGTGCAGGTAGGATCAGAAGCTTGTGCCAAATTTTATGTTACCTGTTTCCCCAGAGTGCAGTCTCAAGGAGCCGAGCTATACTGTCCAAATACAGTTGCAGGGGGCCACCTCTGGTGTCAGGGGTTAGATCGCGGAGACAGGAGGTGATGAGGGGCTGCCCAAAATGTATTATTCCATTTCTCCCTCACAGCAGCCCTATGAAGCAGGTACTGTGATCCTCATTTTCAGATGAGGCTAAGAGAGATTAAGTAAGTTGCCTAAGGCCAATTGGTGGCAGCGATGGCCTTGAACCTAAGTGGGCCTGACTCCAAAGCCTGTGGGGGTAGCTGGTATTGAACACATTTGTCAGAGGAACAGCCGATGTGCAGACTCTGGTGCCACCAGGACCGTTCCTCCACTGAAACCAAACGCCAACATCCCCTCCTCTGACCCTATGCTCCGATCCCACGGTATTATCCCCACTATTTGGGAATTACTATTGCCAGTTCCACCCATTATTCCTAGTCTGGGCCCTTCGACTCACATTTGCCCACGGAGCCTCCTGTTGTGTCCCCGACCCTCTTCCAACACCTACCCTCTAGAGCCAGACCTCCTGTTTCAGAGAAAGAGGATGTCTCCTGGCCACCAGGGCCCACCCCTGGGCCCATCGACAAAGAGCAGGCATCTCCCTTGCCCCTTCCCTCTCTGCTACCTTTTGTTCCTTCCTTTGAGAGAGAGAGAAAGAGAGAGAGAGCGTGCGTGCAGGGGAAGGGGGCAGTGGGGCAGAGAGAGAGAGAGAGAGAGAGAGAATCCTACGCAGGCTCCACGCCTAGCCCAGTGCAGAGCCTGACGAAGGCTCAAACCCTCAACCCTGAGATCACGACCTGAGCCGAAATCAAGAGTCGGACACTCAACCAACTGAGCCACCCAGGCACCCCTACACCTCCCTTTCTAACCCTGAACTCTCTGCTGAACTTCAGAAGGCCATCTGAGTGTTCTTCAGGCAGTAAAACATCCTCTGTGTAAAGTGGAACTCAACACCTCCCCACATTTGTTCTGCCTCCTGCATTCTCAGTAAATTACGTCAGCATCTATCAGGTCACCAAAACCAAAACCTTGGTGTCTTCTTAGTTTTCTTTCTCCCCCACTCACTCTACCACGCCCTCCCCATGCACACCGAGTGTGGATTAAGCAACGGAAAGAAAGGGTTGCAGCTTATAGGTTATTATCAAATGGTAGAAGTTGGACAGAAAATTGTAGCCCTGATATGGCTGGGAGTGTCTCCTAACCACATGGCCACTGACAGAGCTGCCTGTGAAGTGTCGGAGACGCGTCCGTATGTCCATTCACGTGCTCCTACAGGACTCCGCCCAGCTGGGTACAGATTTCTGTGTTCACCTACTGTTTCTTCAGGACAAAACTGGTGCATCAGCAAGGAAAGTCATGTTACACTCTAATTGTTCCTTAATATAGTAACTGTGTTGGAGCAAATTTGTGTTTTTAAAACAAGCATTATAACAGAACTGAGTGTATATGTGTGTGGGTGTAAACAACAGAAATCCTAACTTATGTCATAAGCATTCAAGGAATGAAATAAATATTTTAAAGTATTCCCACAAAGAAAACACGAGATCGAAATGATATTACCAAGTGCTATCAAACTTTCATCAAGGATCATTTTATAGCTTATGAAAACCTTTCTAGGGAACAGAAAAAGGGCAAACCCTGCAACTCATTTATATCAGGCCAGAATACATTTGATACCAAAACCAGACAAGCAAAGTGAAAGGAAAGGAAATTTACAGGCTAATCTTGAACACAGAACATGGAAGCAAGAATCCGAAACAAAATATTAGTAAACGGAGTCTGGCAATGTCTAAAAAATAAGCGTATCATGAACACACTGGGTTTATTCTAAGAATGCCAAGTTTGTTTCACACGAGAAAAATCTGTCAAATGAAACTTACCACAGATTAAAGGAGGAAAAAAATTGTGTTCTCAATAGATACAGAATCATTTGATAAAAAGCTAATACCATTTCATGATAAAAGTACTAAGCAAACCAAGAGGAAAAGGAAATTTTTAAACCTGAGAAAGGATATCTACCAAAAACCTATAGTGAACATCATTCTTAATGGTGATATAGCCCCTTTAAAATCAGGAATAAGGATACCCACCATCACTGCTTCTAGTCAACACTTCATCAGCAGATCTAGCTAGTGTAGTAATAGTATAATAATTAGAAAGGAAGAAACAAAATTGCCATTATTTGTAAATAATACGATTACCTACACAGAAAACCCAAAAAATCTACAAATAAATTATTAGAATAAGGGAGTATAGCCAGATAATTGGATATAAAATTAACAAAAAGAAATTACATTTGTATATGCCAGCAACAGTTATAAAACATAATTTTTAAACAGTAGCAACAAAAAATATAAAATATCTAGAAATAAATGAACAGGTTGTGGAAAGACTTTGGCTTTTGGCCATGATGGAATAGTAGAGACCAGACCTAGCCTCTCAGCTGAAGCAATAAAAAAGAAATGGAGAGAATATATGAAACCACAGTTTTCAAGATGCTGGGCATGAAGCAACAAAGGAGGAATCTCTGGAAGATGGGAAACAAATGAGGTGAAGCTTACGATTTACCCCAGCTTACTGCCTTGAGAGTTTCCAGATGACACTGAAGAGAACCATTTGGAGCCCAGAGGACTCTCAGCTGAGAAGATGAGTTTGGGGAGACCAAAGTGGCTAGAGTTTGCAGGACAGAATATTGAACAGGAGTGAGCTACACAGAGAGAAAACTCAGAGGGTTCCCCTCAAGTACCCAACAGAATGTTGATTAAAGAAATAAATGTGAGGGGTGCCTGGGTGGCTCAGTTGTTAAGTGTCTGTCTTCGGCTCGGGTCATGATCCCAGGGTCCTGGGATCGAGCCTCACGTCGGACTCCCTGCTCAGTGGGAAGCCTGCTTCTCCCTCTCCCACTCCCTCTGCTTGTGTTCCTTCTCTTGCTGTGTCACTCTCTGTCAAATAAATAAAATCTTAAAAAAAAAAAAAAGAAAAGAAAGAAATGTGAAAGGCAAACCTTTCATAAAAGGAAAGATAGATAAATGTGACTTCCTTAAAATGAACAGTTTGTTCAACAAAACACACCCTAAAGAGAAAAGACAAGACACAAAATGGGTGAAGATATTAGCCACACATAGTAACAACATCTAGAATATAAAACGAATCCCCACAACTCAAGAAGAAAAAGACAACCGGATAGAAATTGGGGCAAAAGAAACAAACAGGGGTTTTGCAAAAGAGAAAACTCAAATGGCCAATAAACAGATGAAAGATGCTCAATTTCACTGGTGGTCTGGAAGTAAAAATTAGGATCACAATGAGAAACAATTTAAAACTACTCCATTGTCCTAAGTTAAGAAGCCTTGAACATGTAGAACAATAGGAGCTCTGATACATCGCTGCTGGGAGTGAAGACTGATGTGACCACCTGGGAA